TACAGATGGCTTGCCAAACCAGATATTTCTTTGCGAACTTTGACAGTTTCATGTGCTTGAAAACATCTGCTACCTTTCCCCTTCCTTTTGCCGTATAAAACTCCTGTCCCGGAAGCTGCTTGTAGTCGGCTTTGACGTAGGTTTCGTCGTCCATTACCACGCAGTCAAACTTCGTCAACATCGTCGTGTACAGCCTCCGGGATCGCGCTTTGGCCGTCGTATTTTGTTTATCATCGCGATTTGGAGTCACTACCTTCTTGTAAGTCGATAGTCCGGCTCGTTTTTTGGCTCGATGCACGGTTGTAGACGATACACCCAGCTTATTTGCGGCATCTCGGAGAGAGAGGTTAGGGTTTCGCTTGAAACTACCGGCAACTCTCTTTGTCGTCTCAGCGGCTTCCGGTTTTCGATTTCCCCCCGATCCAGACTTCCTGGCTGTCGACAAACGTTCCCCAAACACTTTAATTACATTTGTAACGGTTGATTTGGCAACTTTTAGCGATTTTGCCAACTTTGCGTGCGAGTAGCTCGGATTTTCGCGATGCGCGAGCAAAATTTTGATACGCTGCTCTTCTTGCTTGGACGGCATTTTGACAACTGAAGAGTGAATTCCAAAATCAAAATAGGAGCAACATTCTACACACACACACCTTCAAAATGAGGGGTGTTCAGGTTTTTTAAATGCAAAATTGAAAGAAATACGTCAAGTTGATATTGACCAAATTTTGACCGTATCACTCTTTAGGAACTAAAACTTTATTTTTACTGTCAGTTACATGGGGTCGTGTGCTATAAGCTACACTGTATCAAACCTAGTAATTCAAATCATTAACTTTATTCGTTGCTGGCATGGTTGTGCCCTCGGGCCCTGAGGGATGTGGATAACTCAGATCTGGCAACACGGTGTAAGGTACATGACCAAACAACATGCTCGATATCGTGATAACCACTGCCACACGCATATAAATTGCTGCCTGAGAGTCCAATTCGATAGAAGTGCGAATCTAACGAACAGTGATTGGACATAAGCCTTGACATAACGCGTATAAAGTCGCGGCTCATGTTCAACCCTTTGAACCATAGTTTTTTCGACACCTGTGGGAGAATAGAATACAACCATCTTCCCAAATCACCATCATTCCACGTTTGTTGCCAGCTGATGAGGACTTGCTGACGAGCAATGGAGAAAAATTCGTTGAAGGCGAATTGTCGCTCAAAAACATCGCCTTCCAAAGCACCCACCTTAGCCAACCAGTCCGCTTTCTCATTACCCGGAATTGAGCAATGAGATGGGACCCAAGCTAAGGTGATAGCAAAGATATCTTATTAACAAGATATCCCACTAATAAATTCCTCATACAAGTCATATAATGACCACCCTTATGTGATCGCAGTGCCATCTGTTGAGTGCACATTGAAACTGTTGGGAATTCCCCGCCAACTTCACCACCAGGGCTCAATAACTAACAGGTGTCAGCATGACAGATATCAACGCGGACGTTGATGATCAGCCGAGGAAAGACGATATCATCCTCGAAGTCATCATCATTATATAGCAATAGCAAGATTCTTACTTGTTTGTGATTGCTCCGATTTCCAATCATTACCACGGGGCTGTTCATAAACTACGTAGACAGTTTATTGGGATTCTTGACCCCCCCTCCCCCTGCGTAGACAATTGTCCATACAAAAATTTTAAAATTTGTATGGGCCGTGGATAATTGTCAACTTTTTGGCTTAGCTCTGGTACTCTTTTCGGTCCCAAGCTAATCGATTCACCCCTCGAAACATAGGAAAAAACAATAACCCCTCATTTTATCTGTCAAACATTCATAGAGAATCAAAACAAACATTGTGTAGTTCTAGAATTTTGACTAGAATGGGGTACGTTAATCGTTTGCTTGGGACCAATAGGCTAGTCAAGTAGTGAGCCAATTTAAAATCGTTAGTTTCGTATTGATTGTTGGTAATTTAGCCAATTTAAAATCGTTAGTTTCGTATTGATTGTTGGTAATACCAACAATCAATACGAAACTAACGATTTTAAATTGGCTCACTACTTGACTAGCCTATTGGTCCCGAGCGCCAAAAATATCCATTCTTAACTTTCGATTACCGCACATTATCTAGGACTATTAGGACAAAGGCGATCGGGCCGGCGCCGGCGGTGTAGTGGTAAGCGTGACTGCTTTCTCACCCCAATGGGTCTGGGTTCAATCCCAGCCAAGGTCGGCGGGATTTTTCTGAGGCATAAAAATCTCCACTCAGAATAATCGACACGTTATTGTTACGTGAAAAATCACGTGGAGTCTCTCTTTTCACCTTTATGTCAAATTTACGTTACACAAGTAGAGTCTACGTGATACCACATACGTATCAACGGGAAGTCCCTTTAAAGTCACTAGGTTTTTTAATGAAACGCACGTGATTTGCACATACACAAATTCTATGAGCATTTTATACGTAAACCCTAAATGATTTTCACATATGGGTTGATGCATATATTATGTCACGCTCTAAGGGGGGAGGGGGGGTCTAAGATTTTGTGACAAGCAAAAGCAAGAGCAGGGGTTAATTTTTTGCTGTGACATAATTAATGCATGGGCCCTATGAAAAAAATAATGAGTGCCTCACTCATAATGGTACACAATATGGTGTTTACATGCCAATTAAAATCTTGGGGCTTATTTTCGTGAGACAATTTCGTGTTGTAAGTATATAATGGCTGAACCAAAAACAAACAGACATAACACATTGCATATTTCTCATTGTAAAACATCATCGCTATAACATTACAGCCATCTGTTGAGTACACTGTGGTGGGTAGTACGCTGAACAGATGGCGGTAGTATGTAAACGTCAAACGCAAGGAAATTGACTATGAGTGCCATACGATACTTATAAATTGATTGTTTAATACCAACTACGATACTTATAAATTGATTGTTTAATACTTGTTCGATGAACAACTTGCGAGAGTTATGTCTGTTTGTCTGTGGCTGAACATTTTATCACAGACAAATTTTATGGTGAGAATAATTTGTAACATGTTTCTTTATTTTAGTCTGACGACAAGGGGCACCATGGATTGAAATGCGAGTTAAATGCCCCTTTATGTGTCCCATATACTTCCCGAGTCCAGTTTCGCTCGAAGTAATTTCTTCTTCTGTGTGTATGTTTGCCACACTTAAGGTATCTTGATGCCTTAATGGTCAAGGAATACTGTAGCATCATTTTTCATTTGATATCAAGAATACATTTGATTTAAACCGGAATAAAAATCATTGAAAACCACCATGAATTCCATCGAAAGAATCAAGAATCACATAACTTCTACGTGATAATCCCGTGACCATCTCGCTCACTGAAATGAGTGCTTTCATATGATAATCAAGTAACACTTACGTGAAAAGTACGATGGAAAAAATCGATGTATGTTTTCACGTAGCATTGTCGTGAAAATTCAATCACGTCTTCCTTCGGAAGGGAAGTTAAGCCACTGCTCCCGGCCCATGTGTGTTTGAATGGGTGCGATATCCTACGCAGGTGTAAGCTGCCTTCCTGCACATTCGATTGCCGTCAATGGATGGCGATCGATGCCGGTCGGTGATTCGCACTAGATTTCGGAACAAAGACCGACGTTAAATAAAGGAAAGAAGAATAAGAAGAAGAAAGACGATCGGTCTCCTTTGTCCTAACAGTCCTAGATAATGTGCGGTAATTGAAAGTTAAGAATGTGTCTCAGCATTCACAATAATATTCTAGTCAATTTCCGTGCGCGTATTGAACAACAACAGCCAAACGTATGAACGCATAGGGTGGCCTCAGCGCATTTTAAGCGGAATGTCGCAAGTTTTCATGGGTGTTTTAAATCAAACATGAAGATACCTTAAAACCTCTATCTTTCAAAGTTTGTACGTTTGTAATGAAAATGTATTTTCCTTGACCTGATAAAGGGTTTAACCGACAGGGTATTAGACTGGCCCACATTTATATGGGGGAAATTTTTTATCATTTTTTCAACGGGCCAACCCCTAGACCCCTGTGCCATTAGAGAAAACCACTCTCTGAAAATTTCAGCTCATTCGGATGAAACACGAGCTGGCGCTTTCGATTTAAAATTTATATGGGGATATTGGCTGAAATGTATAGAGAAATAACATTCCTACACTCTTTCGTGCATAGAACTGGTTTCAGCAAACTCGTTTAAGCTTGTTACGATTGTTACTCATTAATTGAACTACAAGTTTTGAAAATCTGAATCATATCGAGAATAATGAAACTTTTTTATGATCGGTAGAGTGTATGAGTTATTTTTTCATGTATTTTATCAAAATTGCCCATACAAAATTCAAACTAAAGGCGCCAGCTCGGGTTACATCCGAATGAGCTGAAATTGTCAGAGAGTGGTTTCCTCACCTAATGACACAAATCTAACCGGGTATCGTAGACTAAATAAATTACAATTACAAAGTCCCTGAAGTTAGAGACAAATCCCTGCACTTCAACGAAACTCTCCGAATTTCTACTAGGTTCACTAAATTTCCCTAACGTTCGCAAAATTTCACTGAAGTTCTACACAATATGCTGAACTTTTTAAAAACCCGGTGAACTTTTACAAAAACATGCTTCACTTCTTGAAAGCTTCCTGAACTTCATAGTTTCCATAAATAATTGGCGTTTGTAGCCATTGTTTACAAAAGTACTTACGTCGATTTGGTTATTGCTAGTGGGGTTTTACGCCACTCTGTCTCTTATAATAATTGTTATCGCAATAACACTAATCATGATAGTCGTATAACATGCTATAACTCTCCAGTTATAAGTATGAATATTGGTAAAGTTCCCGACGAATAATTGCGTTTCACCTTCGGTTTCACTACTCCTACTATATGAACAAACTTAAAGGAGGCTGGGTATAAATTTTGCATTTTATGTCTTCGAGAAATACCTTCTTTTATTGAGGTTAAACATGAATGAATAGCAAAATAAAGACTCACACGAAACGGCTGTTCCATTCTTCTCGTTTCACTCTACCGAGAGTTACCACCTCTTTAATAGTCCCTTTCAGTTCATTCCAGGTTTGCTCGAAGTCTATTCGTTTTGGTTTCAAGGACATGTTGTTCAATTTCTTCTAGGCGATAACTTCTGGAAGATTCAGACAAAGTTTAACCAAGGAACGTATATATTACCTAATTACCGACCAATAAGGAATTAAGACAGCTAAGTTTTGTGTTCATTAGCAAAAATGCAATGCCAAAATCTCTTCTGCTCGCGGTACACTGCAGTTTTGATCTTTCACTTTTCAAAATAATGACCAAAATATGCAACCCCCCGCTATTCAACACGCTACAGAATAAAGACCTATTTTTGAGTAAAATCATAGTGACACTTTTGGCATCTTATTAGGGTCAACTCGAACATTACGTAATGCAAGAAGAGGCAAAAAAGTTTTGAATATCTCTATATATGAGAATGAGAATGGGGTTGTTTAAAAGTATACTATACAGAATATATTGATGTTTTTGCATATTCGTCATCTACATTAAAAATGGAACCTAAATCCAAAATTTCATAAATTTTGGTGCACAGGAACTATGTTAAATCAGTGCGATTACATTTGCAAGCATAACCATTTAAGCGCCCCTCACCATAGAGCGAACTGTCATTCAATGGATATTAATGCCATCAAATGCAATTTATTGACAATTTAAGGTTCTAGTCAATAATTTGTTTACTTCTTCTTCTTGAAATATTCTTCAATCATCATTTTCTAAATGCATGGGTAAAATTCATTGGAAGTGCATGTCCCCACGCCAAAACCAACAATCAATACGAAACTAACGATTTTAAATTGGCTCACGACTTTAGTAGCCTATTGGTCCCAAGCAAACGATTAACGTACCCTATTCTAGTTGAAATTCTATTACTACACTATGTTTGTTTTGATTCGCTATGAAAGTTTGACAGATAACATCAGGGGTGTGTGGATTCATGCAGAACATGCAGGGGTGAGTGAAATAGCTTGGGACTGCTTGGGACAGTTGTTCTGGTACTGAGTGAGCCAAAAATAATAATGATTTTCTTCGGGACCCAGTGGTCTTAGAGTTACCTCTATGGAGTTACCTCTATGCCAAAACTGCCCATGTTTCATAAATATCAACTGGTATGGTGAGGAAAATTTAACCATCTCTTTTCTTCCTTCATTTCAATACAACAGCAAATGTGATGTCACACACAGCGAAAAAAAATGTAATATCGATCAATGTAATTCAAGCTGATGTATGAAATAATGATGTAATAGCAAAAAGCAGATACAATATTACCAACAATCAATACGAAACTAACGATTTTAAATTGGCTCACCACTTTAGTAGCCTATTGGTCCCAAGCAAACGATTAACGTACCCTAATCTAGTTGAAATTCTATTACTACACTATGTTTGTTTTGATTCGCTATGAAAGTTTGACAGATAACATCAGGGGTGTGTGGATTCATGCAGAACATGCAGGGGTGAGTGAAATAGCTTGGGACTGCTTGGGACCGTTGTTCTGGTACTGAGTGAGCCAAAAACAATAATGATTTTCTTCGGGACCCAGTGGTCTTAGAGTTACCTCTATGATATTACCAACAATCAATACGAAACTAACGATTTCAAATTGGCTCACTACTTGACTAGCCTATTGGTGAATCGATTAGCTTGGGACCGAAGATAGTACCAGAGCTGAGCCAAAAAGATGAGCTCGTTTCTTCGGGACCTTCTGGTCTTAGAGTTACCTCTATGATATTACATCAATGGATGTAATTTTGTTCGCAAAATCGATGTACATCGTACAATGTGATATTACACAACCGATGGATTGACCTGGTTGCAGCAGTTTCTATGTAATATTCAACAACTTTTTTTGCTGTGCACTACACAGCAAAAAAATGTAATATCGATCAATGTAATTCAAGCTGATGTATGAAAAATAATGATGTAATAGCAAAAAGCAGATACAATATTACATCAATGAATGTAATTTGGTTCGCAAAATCGATGTACATCGTACAACCAACAATCAATACGAAACTAACGATTTTAAATTGGCTCACTACTTGACTAGCCTATTGGTCCCAAGCAAACGATTAACGTACCCCATTCTAGTCGAAATTCTAGTACTATACTATGTTTGTTTTGATTCGCTATGAAAGTTTGACAGATAAAATGAGGGGTTATTGGATTTTTCTATGTTTCGAGGGGTGAATCGACTAGCTTGGGACCGAAGAGAGTACCAGAGCTGAGCCAAAAAGTTGAGCACGTTATTTCGGGACCTTCTAGTCTTAGAGTTAGCTCTATGGTACAACCATAGAGGTAACTCTAAGACCACTGGGTCCCGAAGAAAATCATTATTATTTTTGGCTCACTCAGTACCAGAACAACGGTCCCAAGCAGTCCCAAGCTATTTCACTCACCCCTGCATGTTCTGCATGAATCCACACACCCCTGATGTTATCTGTCAAACTTTCATAGCGAATCAAAACAAACATAGTGTAGTAATAGAATTTCAACTAGAATAGGGTACGTTAATCGTTTGCTTGGGACCAATAGGCTACTAAAGTGGTGAGCCAATTTAAAATCGTTAGTTTCGTATCGTTTGTGGTTATAACATGTTATAACGGTTGTCAAATAATTGCAACACAGAAAACACCATCAAGATAGCGCTATAATGCCTTGTTCAGACTGGAGAGTTATAACATGTTATAACGGTTGTCAAATAATTGCAACACAGAGACCACCATCAAGATAGCGCTATAACATGTTATAACTCTGTAGTCTGAACGTACTATAACATGTTATAAATCTGTAGTCTGAACGTACTATTATAGTACATTCAGACTACAGAGTTACAACATGGTATAGCGCTATCTTGATGGTGGTTTCTGTGTTGCAATTATTTGACAACCGTTATAACACGTTATAACCATAGAGGTAACTCTAAAATGCTGTCCAGACTGGAGAGTTATAACATGTTATAACGGTTGTCAAATAATTGCAACACAGAAACCACCATCAAGATAGCGCTATAACATGTTATAACTCTGTAGTCTGAACTTACTATAATAGTACGTTCAGACTACAGAGTTATAACATGTTATAGCGCTATCTTGATGGTGCTTTCTGTGTTGCAATTATTTGACAACCGTTATAAAATGTTATAACTCGCCAGTCTGGCCGGCGTTTAAGACCACTGGTCCCGAAGAAAATTATTATTATTTTTGGCTCACTCAGTACCAGAACAACGCCCGCATAAACGCGAACCATAAATTGACCTTACCAAAAATGGTTAAAAATTGTTTATAATCCCTGCTAAACTTCAACTGAAATGGTTATAGAGATTGCTGACGTTTATCGTACGTAGTGTGCGTCACGTATACGTATACGCAAAATGTTTTCATCGGGAAAAAAAAACTTCATAGCGGAAAATTTTCCAGATGAAAACAAATCACTTACACAATCATACTTTAGCAATCTCTATGGAACTTTACAAGAACGTTTAATGATAAAGTTTTAACCTTATGTATTATGGTTTTTTGGAAGCGGACCTTACAAATAATGAGTTGTTAAGAACCATTACCATTCAAAATTCTTGTTTTCTCCATATATTTTCGGGAGGAGGACTATATTAGAACCTTTTAACTTAAGGTTTGAGAACATTAATGGTTATGGTTATGGTAGTCAGTAAGGTCCATGAATAGTTTTGTAACATCGATCAACTTTATGTGGAATATATCGCGAATTGGTTGCCTGTAAATTACTGATTACCAATTCACGATATATTCCACGTAAAGTTGAGCGATAATACAAAACCATTAATGGACCTTACTGACTATCATAACCATAACCATTAATGTTCTCAAACCATAAGTAAAAACGTTCTAATATAGTTCTCTTTTCGAAAATGTATGGAGAAAACAAGAATTTTGAATGGTAATGTTTCTTAACAACCCATTATTTGTGAGGTCAGCTTTCAAAAAACAATAATACATAAGGTTAAAACTTTATCACACAAACGTTCATGTAAAGTTCCATAATCATTTCAGTTAAAGTTTAGGAGGGATTATAAACAATTTATAATTATTATCGGTAAGGTCAAGTTATGGTTCGCGTTTATGCGGGCGGTCCCAAGCAGTCCCAAGCTATTTCACTCACCCCTGCATGTTCTGCATGAATCCACACACCCCTGATGTTATCTGTCAAACTTTCATAGCGAATCAAAACAAACATACACAGAAATTCAAAACAACCCAAAATTAAGTTTTTTTCACTCATCTCCCATGTTCCGTACGATAAGCCAAATTTGGGTAAACCGGCTCAAAGTAGTTTGCATTTAAGCACGGCAAAAAAAATTACCCATCGCTAAGTTATTTTCAATTTTTTCTACCCAAAATTAAGTTCAATTAACTCAAATTTGGGTATATCGCATATTACTCAATTTTGGCTTCTTGTACGGAACTAGACGGTTGAGTCGAATCTTTCGTTCTATTTTTGACAACAATAGCGAGAGGAAATGAAACGGACAGAGGTCAAATAACTCAAATTTGAGTTTAAAAAACCCAAGCGGTGGGTAGTTTTGTTTTTCTGTGTAGTGTAGTAATAGAATTTCAACTAGAATAGGGTACGTTAATAGTTTGCTTGGGACCAATAGGCTACTAAAGTGGTGAGCCAATTTAAAATCGTTAGTTTCGTATTGATTGTTGTTATAACTCTCCAATCTGGACAGCGTTTTATAGTACGTTCAGACTATAGAGTTATAACAACAATCAATACGAAACTAACGATTTTAAATTAGCTCGCTACTTGACTAGCCTATTGGCATTGGTCCCAAGCAAACGATTAACGTACCTCATTCTAGTCGAAATTCTACTACTACGCAATGTTTGTTTTGATTCGCTATGAAAGTTTGACAGATAAAATGAGGGGTTATTGGTTTTTCCTATGTTTCGAGGGGCGAATCGATTAGCTTGGGACCGAAGAGAGTACCAGAGCTGAGCCAAAAAGTTGAGCAAGTTATTTCGGGACCTTCTAGTCTTATGCCTCGATTCGACGATAAATTTTTCTGCGTGTAATTACTGATTAATTCAGTGCCAACATTTCAAAGGGGCGTAATTGCTTTTGTAAACAATGACTTTAGCCGTCAATTTCTCGCGAATGAAATCTTACCTCTCCAAAATTACAATGCTAGCTGGTAGAGGAAACATTCATCTACCTGCTGGTGTCATTATTTCATATGAGTGAGCTTTTATTCGCGAGAAATCGACGGCTAAAGCCATTGTTTACAAATGCAATTACGCCCCTTTGAAATGTTGGCACTGAATTATCTTTAAAATTACCAAATTATTTTCTAAGCATAAATTACCCACAATTATTATTATTACATTAAAACTACTGAGTAATTCAAAATTTACTAATTATTTTAATAATTCGGCACCAACATTTCAAAAGGGCGAAACTGACAATTGTAAACAGACTGCGTTTTTTATTTAAGTAGAGAGCTAATGCTCTAATGAAATACATATTTTCATCAAATTTTATTAAAATCGTTTTTTGTCACCAAGGATTTAGTATAAACAAAAAGGCGTAATTGAATTGATGTGGGAAGTCATAGTGAGCTTTGTTTCGCCCCTCGTTTTCTTTGTAAACAAAAAGGCGAAATTGACAGCTAGGTTTGCAGTACGGCTAAAAATTATTTTTTTGTAGATTTGTAAAAGTTCATGCAATTTTAGGCGTGTTTTTACATGGTAAAATATCGTTTTCAATTTGAAATCATTGAGAAAACTTTTTCAAATGGAATCCTCCAACTTCCAGGAACTTCTAGGTAAAATTATTGTGTTGATGCATTGATGCACAGAATACTAATTAAATTCTGAAAAATTAAATTTCAGATGCAGCAGCAATGTTTATGCACGAAGAAAATGCTGCATGTAATGAAGAACATGTTCCTTCTGCTGGATATTTTGAAGAGGTGGATATGGTGGACACATCCAGAAACGAAAACCCAAGAAATCGAAGTGAAGGAGAGAAGGACAGAGCTCCATTAGCAGAATGCTTCAAGTCACCGGAAATGTTTTCGGAATCCAACATCTTGGAAGAGTCTAATGTATCGTTCTGCAATGTACAATGCTCCACTCCAAAAAAAACACGAACGGAAATGCACTACGGCTTTCCAGATATTTTTGATCGGCAAACCTCACTCGAATCCACTGAATTCTCAACAGACCTGAGTGTGAGTGCACTGGACCTTCGGACGAATAGAAAATCTGACTATTTGAGCTTGAGCTGCAGTGTTTCATCTGTTCCCAATAGGAGTGTGTTAAGTGACATAGGGAACTGCTCCATTTATAATGATCCTCGTGAATTCTTGCCCGCTTCAAAGCATTTTCGTAGCCAGAACATCACCCGGAACCGGTACGGAAAGAATGATCGACGTAAGCATTTATCTCATTCAAGCCGAAGTTCACATGCGCCCGCGATGCACCATGATGGTGCACCTAGCTGCGTATCAGTTCAATCGGATCACAACTATTCACGGAAACACGAAACAAGTCGCCTATCCTCCTCAAATAGAAGATCGTTTGCAGCTAGAATGCACCGTGGTGATGCACATGGCGATGCCATGAATCGACCTGAACACCGTAACTCTCCGAATCTCGTGGATAGATGTCCATCTATCAAAAACGGACATTCGCATGCGGCTGCTATGCACCGTGGTGGTGCGCATGGCGATGTTCAAAATCGTCCTGTCCACCGTAACTCTCCGAATCTCCTGGATACATCTCTATCTAACTCAAGCGGATATTCGCATGCGGCTGCCATGCACCGTAGTGATGCGCATGGCGATATTCAAAATCGTCCTGCCCACCGTAACTCTCCGAATCTCCTGGATACATCTCCATCTAACTCAAGCGGACATTCGCATGCGGCTGCCATGCACCGTAGTGATGCGCATGGCGATGTTCAAAATAGTCTTGGCCACCGTAACTCTCCGAATATGCTGGATACATCTCCATCTAACTCAAGCGGACATTCGCATGCGGCTGCCATGCACCGTAGTGATGCGCATGGCGATGTTCAAAATAGTGTTGGCCACCGTAACTCTCCGATTATGCTGGATACATCTCCATCTAACTCAAGCGGACATTCGCATGCGGCTGCCATGCACCGTAGTGGTGCGCATGGCGATGTTCAAAATCGTCCTGCCCACCGTAACTCTCCGAATCTCCTGGATACATCACCATCTAACTCAAGCGGACATTCGCATGCGGCTGCCATGCACTGTAGTGATGCGCATGGCGATGTTCAAAATCGACCTAGGCACCGTAACTCTCCAATTCTCCTGGCAACATCTCCGTACACTTCAAGCGGACATTCTCATGCGACTATCATGCATCGTGCTGGTGCGCATGGCGATGTCCAAAATCGACCTAACTCTCCCAGTTCAGATGTTGGAAAGTGTTCTGAATCAGAGTTCGGAGATCTGGATGAAAATGGTGGAGAAGTGTGTATCGGGGATAACACGGAAATGAATGATTTCGATATGACGGATTATTTTGAAAAATTCAGGAATCAGGGTCTTTTGAGTGAAGACGATGAGTATGTTCCCGGAGCAAATGATTCCAACCAGATAAATGACGGTAAGTTTTAAAATAAATTTAAACTAGGGTATATGAAATAAAAATATTCCGTTTCTTATTAATTGCAGCTTCATCATCTGAAAAGCTACCAGGAGATCTTGGTTTTCAAGAAATTGTCGAACCCGAGGCAGCACGATGTAAAGGATCAAGCCGTCGGCAGATTAATAAAATTGCAAAAACAAAGGGACAAAGCTACGTCCGTACTGATGGTACAGTGGTTCCTGCAAGAGCTGTAAGGCCCGCATGCAGTTGTACGAAACTTAAATGCAAGGAAAAGTATACCACCAATGTGCGATGTCAATTGTTAAAGAACATGTTGCAACTGTCTGCTTCTGGTCAAAACCAGTTCTTGAGTAACCATATGGCATTGAGAATCACTGCTCGACCAACGGTAAAGTATTACTGCAATACTAGTTTAAATCCCAATTTCCAAAAATCTTTTTTTTTTGTAACTTTGTCCCAGGTTCTGAATTCAAGAAGACTTTTTACGCGATCGTATTATCTTCCGGCTGTAAACGGTAGAGTTCACGTTTGTAAGGAAATGTTTATGGCCACATTCGATATTACAGACAAAAAACTTCGAGTGTTGGCCAATAAACAGTTGAAAGGACTCGGAATTTCAGCTGATGATATGCGGGCTGAAAACAGCAGCCGTAGAAGCATTTCTAATGAACAACGAAATCATATAATTGACCACATTAAATCCTTTCCTGCTTATACCTCTCACTATAGCCAAGAGAAAACTTCACGCTTATATTTAAGCAGTGATTTGAACGTGATGAAGATGTACAATTTGTACAAAGCTAAATGTGCTAAGGATAACATGCATCTTGTGCACTTCAACACTTATCGATTACTATTCGGCTCTATGAAGCTGGCGTTCAGGAAACCGAAGGCAGATACTTGTTGCCTGTGCGACAAACTAGCTGTCCTACTAAAGCAAGCAGAAACATGCGCCGAGAAGGAGGCGATTCAACGCACACGAGATGACCACCACGCGGTGGCTCAAACAGCTTATACGAGTAAGAAGGTCGATGTTTTGGCTGCAAAAACCAGTATTGAAGTCAGGACGGTTTCCTTCGATCTTCAGAAATGCCTGCCAACACCACATTTGCTGTGTGGCACGGCATTTTACAAACGGCAGTTGTATACCCTTAATCTGACTGTGTACACTACCTGGAATGGTGAAAATTCAGTTGAATGCTATTTGTGGGACGAATCGAAAGCGAGAAGGGGATCACAAGAGATAGCATCTTGTATCCTGAAGGATTTATCAAATACAAACCAAAGAGTAAAGGTAATTAACTACTACTCCGACCGTTGTACAGGACAGAATCACAACATAGTGATGTGCATGATGTTTTCACATTTTATCGAAAAATGTAGTACTGAAGAACGACAGCTGACAATCTGTCATAAATTTATGACATCCGGACATAGTCATATGGAGGTGGACTCGGCCCATGCTTGTATTGAGAAGGCAAAAAAGCGATGCACTACTAATATAGAGACGCCGAGGGATTGGGCTGTCTTTATATCGTCCATTCAACGGAGAGTGTCCTTCCAGGTCACCGAAATGGACCAAAACGAATTTTTGGGATTCAAACAGCTAGAAAATTACTACAAACGACCCAAGATGAATACAGATGGAGAACCTATTCGATTCAAGAACATTTCGCATTTCGAATATAGGACTTCAGCGCCAGGGATTGTGTACTATAAGTATGAATTGTCTGCTGAAGAATATAAGAGATTCGATATGACTAATCATGACACGAAAAATGTTATCGTAACTCCTATCACCAACGAACCAATTCCACTTTCCAACGAGAAAATAGAGGACTTAAAAAGTTTGATGGATTTTGTTACCAACAAAGCATACTACGGCACTTTATTGAAGCAACTAGCACCAAAAAAGCGAGGCCGTAAGGCTAAGACTGATATAGGGGACCATTTCGAGGCAGATTTGGATGTTTCCTTAAATATTGACACATAAAAGGGCGGTGCAAAACTTCATTATTCAACTTTCTTTATAAAAAAATATTTGAAATTAAAAATTTGCAAGTGATGTAGTTATTATTTGTTACTGCTATTTTCCATTCGACAATTAGATAACCGCCCATATTCTCGTTTTCGTTCGAACCATATTTTTCATATACATTTTTTTGTATGGAAAATACGGTTCGATCGAAAACTAGAAAAAGAGCGAAAACCACTAGACTTGTACCAAAGAGGGAAAGTTTTCAGTTGGCCTAGATGGCATACGGAAAATGGTATGGAATGACAACTGTTGGCCGATTAAAACGAATACATCCTTAAATACTGATTTGCCTTCAATTCTCAAAGTTTTCGATCAACGAGAAATTTTCATGTATGAGCTAGACGTTCGGTTCGGTGATTATTTTCCTTCCTGTTCAAGCTGGGAAGCGATTAACTATTTTACCGGAAGCTAGCAAAGTCTGTCTTCCGGTTGTTTAAGTGAATGACCGTTTTTGATGGTGTTCACGCCGAGATTTTTCACTAACAGCTAAATCTTTTTGTTATCCTCAGTGGAAATTGTGTACACAATCTTCTCATCTTAAATTATCCATAACATAACAATTACATTAGTTCCTTATTAAATAATTTCTGATTTTCCTAATCAAAGCAGCAGAAGGGCGTACTTAAAAATCCAAAGACAACAAGGCGCTGTCAGTGGGGCCGAATTGACAGATTGTAAAAAAAAGGTACAAACCGAAAGGGCTTAATCAAAATTTACAAAAAAAATTACAGGCGAAACTTGTTTTTAAGCTTTTTAGAGATAAAAAAAGAAAATAAAAATCGAAATTATTATGTATTGGTAAACAAGGAGCATTAATACTGCACTGTGCAAGTATGAGGCCTGCATAGCTTACTAATTTGAAATAATTTCAAATTTTCGCTTTAGAAACTTTGACAGCGTTTTTCTCAGTTTGCCATCATTGTCAGTTTCGCCCTTTTGAAATGTTGGTGCCGAATTTGTGGTAATTTTTGATTACCGATCACCTTAGAGCAACCGTAACGGTCGTTGTCATTTGCGCGACTATTTTAACAGCGCACAGCGCTCGCATTTTAGTTTAGTCACTCTTCTCCACACCGGTCGCTGCTATCGCGGTTATCAATTTACTCGCCGTAGTCCGTACCGGTAGTGAGCATTTTGACATGTCTACGAATAGCAACCTTTCTCTTGCGCTGCTATCGCGCTGCTAAATTTGGTAACGCGCTTCTCACCGAGAAGCCGACTGCTATTTTAGTTACTCGTATGGCAACCCCCGATACGGTAGCTGCGCTATGATGAGGGCTGTACCGTTACGGTTGATCTTACAAGCTTGATAGAAACCCCTCGGTGATTGTTTGAAAATTGAAACCAAGGTGACTACATATATCCACCATGATAGTGACAAAGCTGTATCACCATGTATATATCCACCATGATTGAAACGTCAATAAACACGTCACCTCACACAATCAATGTCATTTTTTTCATTCTTCAGCGGCTTTTTACACGTCATGCAAAAGTAAAGTGAACTTTCTCATTATTCAGTATCTGAAGCTGGAAACTCAAAGTGTTCTTTGTTAAATTAAATTAAAACATTTTGTTTCTAAAAATGCGTCGAATCGAGATAGTTGTTCTGATTATATCAATCTTCAATTTCGTACCGTTTCTACATGGCCTGAAGGAAGGCGACTGTGAAGGTAATTTACCGTTGTTTTACCATTCCAATCCAATACCTCGTACCATATCCTCACCCTCTCAATATGTGGCAAAAGGCATAATTTTTAAAAATTTCCATCAAATTCAATGATATCGACAGATGTAAAACCTGTCCTACACATGCCGCCTATAGTAACTAGTTCTAGTTCGCCTTTTAGTAAAGAATAATGCATTTTCCTGTTCTATTTACAGTTTGTGTCAAGACGGTAGAAAAATTTGCTGCTGGTCTGGATGATTCTGTTAAGAAAGATACCAAAAAAATCGAAGACGAGTTCCGGTTATTCTGCAAAACTGCCAAAAACAAGGAGCAACGATTCGTAAGTTTCTAAATGCAATTTCGATGAAGAATGTAGGTGTCATGGCGTTTCATTGACTTTTTTTTTATTATCCACCAGTGTTATTACTTAGGTGGCGTGGAGGAATCCGCTACGGGAATCTTGAATGAACTTTCGAAGCCACTCAGTTGGTCTATGCCAGCTCTTAAAATTTGCGAGAAACTAAAGAAGAAAGATTCCCAAATTTGTGATCTACGTTACGGTAAGTGCTCTATTCTCTTATGCAGAATTCTTAGCTAGGATAAAACTTTCCAATTTTTTTTTCGTCAAATTTCAATCAATTATCAAAATTTAGCAGTTTGTTTAAATGTTTGCACTTATTAGAATGTTATCAATATTTTTATGGAGTTTTTCTTAAGTAGCCTACTACTTTTTCTATAACTTAAATAAGCTCGAAATATAAGTGAAGAATAAGTTATGAAAACTATAGCCTATTCTTCACTATTCAAGCGAGTTTTTCAAGTATGCAGAATTGAATCACTCCATTTTGCAAGTTCTACACAAAAACGAGCATCAAACAAGGCTAAACGCAAAACACTAAAAGTAAGGCTGGAAAGTGCGGTTGTTCGTTGGTCGGTTCTTCACAGGAGACAATCGTTCCCGTACTTATTTTTTGGGCGGACCTGCATAAGGCTGAAATTTGTCTTCTAATTATTATTTTTTTAGGATGTTTCCCAAAATTTAATTTCTTCCCTTTACCAGAATTCCAATGGTTCCAAAGACGTATTCAGGAAGACAAAAATGTTTGCCCTTAAAGCATTAGTTTTAGGTAACTCGTCTAGGAGAAAGTTTTATATATTTGTGGCCAATCTTTTGATGTAGGTGATGGAGGATTACTGAGTTCAAAATATCAACTTTTTAGTTATTTGAGATAGGCCAGCCATGTTCGACGAAGTAGTAGAACAATTTGCTGGACGCAACTTTGCTGAAGATACCATTTTTCCATCTCTACACACTAAGATTTTTTTTTACAGGAGTCAGTATTTTTTTACTGGGGTTTTGAATTGCTGAAAAAGTCGGTAAAAATTCAAATGACCGTTATCCGTAAGAAATTAATGAAATCGACCAATTTTATTTTCTATCATTAAATGGGGTTAACAGAACTAAGTATGTATAAGTTCAGAGCAAATTTTCTCATTAATAAATTTTCCACAGATTTTTAAACTTTTACCGAACAGTTCCGCAATTCAAAAACTCAGTAAAACCATAGAGGTAACTCTAAGACCAGAAGGTCCCGAAGATTTGGTTCAGCTCTGGTCCCAAGCTAATCGAGGCACCCCTCGAAACATAAGAAAATCCATGAACCCCTCATTTTATCTGTCAAACTTTCATTGCAAATCAAAACAAACATTGTGTAGTACTAGAATTTTGACTAGAATGGGATACGTTAATCGTTTGCTTGGGACCAATAGGCTAGTCAAGTAGTGAGCCAATTTAGAATCGTTAGCTTTCATAGTTTTCGGCTGCATTTGCGGGATTAGCGCTGGCACTCTGCCTCCCGGACGGTTATACGTGTGTGATTGGTGGTTTTCTCGCTTTCTGGGAAGTTTTAGAATCGAGAAAGAAAACGTGGTGGGAACAATTACCGTTGCATAAATTCTCCGAACTATATACCAAGGGGGTTTGTTCTTTAGCAAGAACGGAAGAATCATTTTCCTTCCCTCGTTCCTTGCAAGCACCTTTTCTTTACATTTTCCGGTCTGTTTAGCGTAGCGGTGAGATATATTCCCAGGTACTTCATGATTGGCTGAGGTTTTATCTCCATTTCAGCAATTCTGAACATATCTTCAACTGCTACCTTCGTTGACTTTGGGCTTACAATGAGCTCTGATTTTCCGGAATGCACAATTAATCCTGATTCTGCTAAGAGCTCTTTCAGAACCCTTACGATTTCATTCAGTTGATCCATACTGCTGCATACGATCAGAATGTCGTCTGCGTAAGCGAAAATTACTGGTGGCGACATTCCTTCATTCTGACCCAGTGAGATGTAAGGAAAACGTTCTTTCAAGCGACTCAATACATGCTGTAGTGTTATGGTAAAGAGTCTGGGGGAAAGCGGACACCCTTGCTTTACTCCTCTGCCCTTCAGTGCTTTTGGAGTTCTTTTATTTGAGCACCTCAAAGACGTTCTCTCATGCAGGCCCAATTTAATAATTCTATTGATTAAAAAGTTTGGGACCTTCATGAACATTAATGCATCAACTAATGAATTTTGATCCACCGAATCGAAAGCTTGCCGGATATCCAAAGAGACTACAAAGAGTTCATCTCCTTTGTTCCATCATTCCTCCATGATCCTTTTAGAGGAGAAAATGTGGTCTTCCACGGACCGATTCCTCAGAAATGCAGCTTGGTATGATGGGTTTTCTTCGGTGGTTTCAACCAATTTCATGAGCAGGTAGCTGGCTACAATTTTGTAAACCACGTTACAAAGAGTTATTTTACGGAAATCACTTGTCTCCTTAGAATACGGCTTCTTCGGAATCGGTATCTGAATAGTTTCCGAAATATCTTCAGGAGCCCTGTTTTTGATCCAAATATTTTTAATTACTGTATGAAGTTCGTTCATATACTCCTTGGGTACATTTTTCAACAATTCCACATTTAAACCGTCTGGTCCCGGACAAGTACCACTTCTGAAACCTTGGATGATTGCTTCAATGTCCATCTTTGATGGTGCAGGGATGTACTCACCAGCTTCAGGAAGAAGGGGTATGTTATGATCTGTAACAACAGACTCATACACTGACTCTAGCCATTTAAATTGATTGACAGTATTCGTAGTAGATTTCCGCATTTGGTACTTTTTATGTTGTTTGAGAAATTTATACGTGCATCTCAAACGTTGAAAAGGTTCAACCTTATCAATCTCCTCGAAGAATTGCCTCCAACTTTTCCAAACGTGTTGCCGTTTAACTCTTCTAGTTCACTCCTGGCCCATACTACTTCTCGATGGCATCTATCCACATCCGAAAATCTGTGCAGCTTCCTTTGCAGTGCTCGATAAGCGCGTTTGGTGTTTGGTGATTGAGGTTCCTTTTTTCCCTATGGAAGTACGTCGTTAGCTGCTTCTGATATCACCTTCTTAAGTTTGTTCCACCGTTGATCTGTGTCCAACTCGAAGCTGTTGTTGTTCATCCTCAATATAATTTCCTCCGCAAACTTTTTCCGTAAATCTGGGTTTCGCAGGAGTTGTACGTCCCATCCCTGTTTGATGCTCTGGTGAGTTTCTTTCACGCGACCTGCTTTGCAATTGATTTGATTTGGGTAGAACATTTTCTTCACAGACCCCATCAATAGTCTGTGGTCAGATTTGAAATTTTGGGGGCAGCATGCTTTGATGTTCTTCTCGTTTACTCTTATTTGCCGGTTTAGTGGCATCATCATGTGATCTATTTGCGACACCGCGTTCTTATTACTCCAAGTTGTCATCACACTTTTTGATCTTGCAAATGTATTACACACAATCAGCTCGTCCTGTACAACTAACTGTAGCGTGAAGATTCCATTTTCGTTGCTTTCCTCATGCAGCAACCGATGGCCGATCATTTTTTTTTAAATGTTCATCTACATCCCTCCTTCCGATATGACCATTGAAATCACCGATGATGACGTAGTCATCCTCTGGGGGTATTTTTGATAAAATAATAGACAGTTCTGTAAAAACCACTGGCATCCTTTTGTCACTGGGAATATGCACGACTATTAAAAATAGTCCTATCTCTCCCTTTAAAACCCATGTAGCCTTGTTTTCCGAGACAGCTCTGAAGTTCTTGATTTCGATACCATAGTTCCGACGTACCAATATCCCGATTCCGCGATGACTAGTTTTAGTTTCAATCGGGCTCAAATGCCATTGATAGTTGCGGGTCTCCCCAAGAAATTCTGGTTTCTTGAAGACCACACACATCAATGTATCGTTCGCTAAGCTCTAGATCAATGCATCTCTTTTCAATTCGGTGGCGCATCCGCATACGTTGATTGTAGCGATGTTCATACAGTCCCTTTTAGACGTTGCTGTTGGCAACACTGAGCTTGAGCGGCAAACGTCTGGGACGTCTTCATTCGATTGTATTTCACTAGTTGTTTGGTCTGTTGGGCTAGGCAATCGTACTGCTTCACCCGCCAATTTGGAAAACACCGTTTCGAGAAAAACGCGTTTAAAGTTTTGGGTTGTGTAAAAACATGATTTCTGGAACTTACGGTTAATCGGCGATACCGGGGCCATAGATCACTCCTTCCTCGTGCTCGTAGCATTTTTTTTAAATTTGTTAAAGTAAAATATAAAAAAAAACGATAAAAAAAATTTACTTGTATTTCCCCCCTTAATATATCATTGTTTTCCAAGAAACGGTACCAAATAGTTATTTCACCGAACTAAAAAAAAGATCGTGCGTAATCCTACTTGAATAAGATCAGCTCCACTACAAATTCTATCACAATCATCATATTTTTTTAAATGTTGACAATTTATTTTAAACCTGATTTCATGTGATTTTTTCTTTCTTTTTTAATTATTTAGACAAGCAAATCGATGTTAACTCTGTGGATTTGAAAAAGCTGAAGGTGAAAGACTTGAAGAAAATTCTGTCCGATTGGGATGAAGAGTGTGATGGATGCCTGGAGAAAACTGATTACATAAAAAGAATCAATGAGTTAAAGCACAAATATGTAAAGACAGAACTATAGGATAATGTCTAATATAAATAATAAACTACAATAAGGTACACCAGACTTGATATTATTTTCTGACAATCAATCCATCCATTAAGTCACTTTGTTCATGATATCATCACAGACAAACAGACATAACACATTGAATATTTCTCACTGTAAAACATCGTCGCTGGAACCGCCATCTGTTGAGTACACTGTGGTGGGTAGTACCATAGAGGTTACTCTAAGACTAGAAGGTCCCGCTCAGCTCTGGTACTATCTTCGGTCCCAAGCTAATCGATTCACCCCTCGAAACATAGGAAAAGCCAATAACCCCTCATTTTATCTGTCAAACTTTCATAGCGAATCAAAACAAATATAGTGTAGTACTAGATTTTCGACTAGAATGGGGTACGTTAATCGTTTGCTTGGGACCAATAGGCTAGTTAAGTAGTGAGCCAATTCAAAATCGTTAATTTCGTATTGATTGTTGGTAGTACGCTGGACAGATGGCGGTAGTGTGTAAACGTCAAATGCAAGGGAGATGACTATGCGCGCCACAGGTGGAGGTACTACCAACTACGATACTTTTAAATTGACCGTTCAATGCTTGTTCAATGAACAACTTGCGAGTGTTATTTCTGTTTGTCTGTGATATCATGTTCCATTATGTTTTTTAACAGTAGAAAATCTTACTCAATTTTATTTCCTTCTTTCAAAAGTCCCCATTTTCTAAAAAAAAAAACAAACAAATTGTCCTTAAACATCTGAAATAAGTGTCATTTCAGCCACCTCTTTGGCTTCAGAAAAGAAAGATTTGTTCTGGGAAATATAATAACCCAATGGGAAACGTACAGAAAAAAAAAAAAAAAAAAGTACAGCCGTAACCCAAAATTAAATAATTCAAAAATACTCAATCATATGCGAATTTTGGATCTTATTATTAATTGTTATGATATATGTTGTTGTTATTGTTATAATATACATAGCAATTTATAATAACATAAGTTCCGAAATTCTCAGATTATTGTGAAGTAAGATTGAGTATTTTTGAATTATTATATTTTGGGAAGCTTTTCTCATTGTTTTTTTTTTCTGCTTTATTAATTTCCAGAGAAAAATACATGTAAATCAACGTGTATACCAATCTTTTGAATGATCCGAACCTTCCTAAGTAAGCTTTAAGGCATAGTTGTAGCCAGATGACCACAGGTCGCATTGTATACGCACAAACGAAGTGACAGACGACTAACTTGCGAAGAAATCAATTAAAATAATGTGGTTCGCTGTAATAGAATTTTCATAGAAGCTTGTGTTATCAGCCACCAGATGGGCTAGTATTTTTGTTTTGATTTGAACATAGTTGATTTTGTGTGCAATATGATCTTTGACAGTGTGCAAAGAGTGTATCATTTTGTCATTTTTTTATGCATTTCAGTTTAGAGTAGAGTGAAAGAGATAGAACCAAAACATTCTAGTACATTTAGTGTTGCCATGTGGTACAATCCATTAGTAGTGTTGCCATGTGGTACAATCCAGTAGTAGTGGTGTTGCCCAGAGTCAATGTTAAAATAAGAGTCCCGCCAAGAGTGAAGCCAGAAGTACCAATCGAACTGTCACGTGGGGTACCAAACGAGCAAAGTAAATAAACATTATTGTCCCCACAGCCAGTGAACTACAAGTATTGCATTCGTTATTGACAATATTTTAGTAATTTTAGATGAAAAACATTTCTTCGCTTTACTTAGTATATTGTGGTATTTATAAGTTATACCAAGCACTTGTTTGAACATTTTTCAGCTTCTAAAATAGTTTTTGTCTACCAGGAGCTCCGTTATCGACATGTAATTTTTCATTTCTGAATGAAAGTCATTCGATGCTAACGCAAAATATCTGGTTGCCATTTACTCTGACGAAAAATAAATCACAAACAGTGCTGCTTGTTCGTAACATTTTCTCTTATTATAACATCGACTCTGGTGTTGCCATGTGGTATAGACGAGTGCACGGGTGAACTTTTGTTCATCTACTGAAAAAAAAAATTGACACAACAGCGGGGCCCTGTTTACTAAAAATGAACACATGAAGAATGCTCGCGTAACTTTTGAAACGGGCCTATTAACTTTTGTAAACAACTTCCTATGTCCTTTTCTCGAGAACCGAAGTACGCCCACGCAAACCAAGAGCCCTATAGGTAAGGGGAGAATTTCCCCTACCCGATGGTGTTGCTAGTTTGCGTGGGTGTATTCGGTTCGCACGAAAAGGGCTTAACAAGTTTTGTGTTCAAAAGTTGACAAGCCCGTTAAAAATGTTACGCGAGTATTATTCATGTGCTCATTTTTAGTAAACAGGGCCCCGCTGTTGTATCACTTTTTGTCGAGTGAGTGAACTCAAATCCATCCGTGCACTCGTCTATACTGAAAAATTGCAATAGCAGGTGCGTCACCAAAGTTTTCGAGCCGCTCCGTCTGTCACTTCCTTTGTGGTATTCACTCCTATTCTGTATTTCGTTTCGAACGAAATTCTCATACAAAAAATTTCGTATTTCGTATAGGGGTGATTACCCTAATAAAAATAACCATAAAAGAGAGCTTAACGACGTATTCGGGGTATCATCCAAAACATTTGTGGGATAGTTCCGGGATACAGTTCATTTATGGTATTTGTTTATTAAGGTACCTTCCGGTTGAATACTGTTGGCAAGGGTAGTGGCTATCGGCAGACGTGGGAAAAATCGGACTGGACTCGAAATACTATTCGAACTACAATTGAAAGGAACGTCTTTATTTGTCAGTAGTATAATTTGAACTGAAGAAAATGAAGTTATGCTCTAAAAGCAAGGCATACTGCGTTGTATATACTCAACAGCTGCTACAGTAGACCACACTGCTTCCTTAGAAATTCCAACCGTATTCGTAGTAGAGGTTTGGTTAAAAGATCCGCGGCCATCTTTTCCGTAGGGCAGTACTCATACTTGATAACACCTTTCGTCTTCAGGTTCTTGGATTAGTGAAATTTTGTTGAAATGTGTTTGGTACGGTTACTGAACTTTTCGGAGTCCAGCATCTTCAAACAGCTTTGGTTGTCTTCGAATAATATTGCTTCTGTTTTCTCCCCTAGGTACTACAATAGTCTCTGCAGCCAAACCGCTTCTTGGGATGCTTCGGAAAGAGCCACGAATTCCGCTTCTGCTGTAGATAGTGAAACGCAGGATTGCTTTCGGCATGCCCATGCAATGGTTCCTCCGCAGTATTTGAATACATATCCACTATTGGACTTCCTGTCGTCGCAACATTCTGCCCAATCGGCATCAGCGTACACCACCAGACCAGATGAATCACCACTGCTACTCAGTCGAAGCTCAGATCAATCGTCCCCTTCAGGTAGCGAACCATTCGCTTCAACTCGTTCCAGTCACGTTGGGTTGGGTAACTCACCTTACGACTCAAGATTGAGATTACCGTTGCGATGTCAGGTCTGCTGTTGACTGCGATGTACAACAGCTGCCCAACTACCTTTTGATATTCTTGATTATTTGGGAACTGGTCATCGTTATCTTCCGTCTTGATGTACCCAGGATCAATTGGCACGGTTGACACTTTCGCATCCTGTAGGCCAACAGAACAGATGACGTCTTCAATGTATTTCCGCTGGTTGATAAGAAAATCTCCAGCATGGTCTCGATCGACTTCGATCCCGAGGTAAAACTTGACATCACCGAGGCAGCTGATCTGGAAATTTCTTGCAAGCGTTCGCTTCAATGCGTCGATCATGCGTTCATCCTCGCTCGCTACGATGAGATCATCCACATACACGAGAACATAGCACCACTTGCTACCAGCTCGCTTTCTGTACAGGCAGGGATCTGCGTCACATCGCTCAAAACCATCCGCTTCCATCACCTCATGCAGTCGCTGGTTCCAAGAACGAGCCGCTTGCTTGAGCCCGTACAAACTTTTTCTTTAAATGGCATACCTTGTTTTACATACCGCTGACGACATACCCGGGAGGCTGCATCATGTAGATCTCCTCCTCAAGGTTGCCGTTGAGGAACGCCGTTTTTACGTCGAATTGCTTGACGATCATCTTCTTCTTGGCTGCCACAGACATCATGGTGCGGAACGTAACGTGTCGAACGACTGGCGCAAAAACTTCAGCGTAGTCCGTCCCAAAACGTTGAGTGTAGCCCTGGGCTACCAGCCTGGCTTTGTACCGAACTACATTGCCATTTTCGTCTCGCTTCTGTTTATACACCCACTTGCATCCAATGGCGCGGATACCCGCCGGCAGGTCGACTATATCCCAGACGTCGTTTTCTTCGATGGATGCTAGCTCTTCCTTCATAGCCGTGCACCACTTAGCGCTGTTTGGACTGGATAACGCTTGCTTCAACGATTTTGGCTCCTCCTGAACCGAAGCTTCTGCTGTACAAGCATACCGCTCTGGAATAGCTCCGAGATTAGCTCTTGTTGATCTTCGAGGTGGATCGACATCTACACTGGACATGCTCCCGTCCACACGTACGGCATCGGACTGCACTTCGATTTCACGGAGAGTTGCTTCGTCCGGTTGTTCATCTGGATCATCCCAGACATCGTCGTCATCCGATTCAGTTGATCCTGGCTCACTCATTAGGTCCACTCGTTCGAAACAGATGGATGGTACAACCAGACTTTCTCCCACCGAACCTGGCATGGGCCCGCAAGCAGTAAGAAATTTAACATCACGGCTAACAGTTACCTTTCCATTCGTCTCGTCCACCAGGCGGTATGCCTTCGATACTTCACTGTATCCGACGAACCTGAGCTTGACAGCCTTCCGATCCAGCTTACCTCGCTTTTCATTTGGTACATGGCAGTACGCATCCACACCAAACCGCTGAATGTGTCCGAGATTGGGCTTCTTCCCGAACCACCGCTCATATGGTGTGCCACTGATCGACCGTGATGGCAGCCTGTTCTGCATGTAGTTTGCAGTTACCACTGCTTCTCCCCAGAAACGCTTGTCCAGATGTCCGTCAATGAGCATGCACCTGGGCATTTCGACAAGGTAACGATTCTTTCGTTCTGCTACCCCATTTTGCTGTGGGGTGTATGGTGCCGTGAGCTGGGTGATGACACCGTTTTGCTTAAGAAATGCATTGAATGCCTTGCCAGTAAACTCACCACCCCTGTCCGAGCGGAGAATTTTGAGCTTCCTTCCAAACTGCGTCTTGACTAGCTCACATATTCCTTAAGTTTCTGGAGCGCTTCAGAATTCTTCCGTAGCAAATAAACGACCGTGTACTTACTGTAGTCGTCGATGAATGTGATGAAATATCGTCTTCCGTCCAGAGTCGCCGTCCTCATTGGTCCACAGATATCAGTGTGAACCAAATCCATCACCGCTGATGACACACTTTCTGACGTCTTCGGAAACGATGTCCTGTGCATCTTACCTTCAATGCACACTTCACATGCATCAGTGTAGCTGCATCTCTTTACCCTCACGCCGTTGACCAAGGTCTGCAATTTCAACACCGCTTCGCAGTCGTTGTGTCCCAATCGTCTGTGCCACGCATGCACGCAGTCATCGTTCGTCATCACCATGGATACGTTTTCGGTTGATTGATGAATTATGAACAAGTTACCAACGGACTCCGCCATTGCACATATCTTTTCACCTTTCATGATTCTCGCTCCAGTTGCGCCGAATGTGACGACGAATCCTTTCTGCACCAGCCGCTTCACGGATAGCAAACTTGACTTCATTTCAGGAACATACAAAGCGCTTTCTATTGGAACATCACGTAGTCGACCAGAATCATCTAGCACATTTATTCGCCCAGCACCTCGGCCTTTCGAACGTACCTTCGTCCCGTTGGCGACCCAAACGTCCTCAGTAGCTGCATCATCCAAATCCTCGAAGAAGTTCCGGTAATTTGCAATGTGGCTGGTTGCACCGGAATCCAAAATCCTTTGGTCTTCCGCTTAACTATTGCATCCAGTGAGAAACGCGTAGCTATCATCATCATCTTGCTGCGATACGTGGTTGGCTTTCTGTTGCTTGGATACTGCCTTTCGGTGCTTGGATACAGCTCCGCTTTCTTTCTCCACCTTCCATACTCTGAAATTTTCGCAATTTGCCTTCTGGTGACCTAACTTTTTGCAGAAGAAGCACCGGTCTTTTTTTGCCTTTGAACTTGCATAGAGAACAGCTTCAGGATTATCGCTATCATCGTTGCGCTGCTTCTTTTTCTGCCATTCATCGATGAGCTTGCTCTTCACCATATCCAGGGTCAAATCATTCTCTGGTCTAGCTTCAAGGGCGGTTACCAACGTCTCGTACTCCTCCGGCAGACTGCTGAACAAAATCGCGACCAACCATTGGTCGTCAAGGATCTTTTCCGGCTGTAAATTGTTGAGCTTCTCGAACAATTCCGACAACTTTGATACGTGCGCTTCCATATCTCCATGTTTTTCCAGGCGTTGATTACAAATTTTCCGCATCACAGAGACCTTCGTCGTTAACGTTTTCTTGACATGGAAATTTTCTAGAGCTTTCCACGCCTCCGCCGCCGATTTGGCCTTCCTTATGTGGATTAATTGGTTATCCTCCACGGCCAATCCAATCGATGCCAGCGCTTGATCATCTTCCACGCACTTGTAACCGCTTCTGGCCTTGCGTCCGCTATGGTTGTCCAATTTCCTTCCTTGGTCAGCAACAGCTTCATCCGGAAACTCCAGTTATCGTAATTGGATCCATTGAGCCTTGAAAACGACATCAGCTTGTCCGCCATCTAGTTACGAATTCAAATTCTATTTTCACCAGTTCCGATTGCACTGTCTGGGCCCATAACCTATCAGCAGAAATGGGAACAATCGGACTGGACTCGAAATACTATTCGAACTACAATTGAAAGGAACGTCTTTATTTGTCAGTAGTATAATTTGAACTGAAGAAAATGAAGTTATGCTCTAAAAGCAAGGCATACTGCGTTGTATATACTCAACAGTGGCATCATTCAGAATTTCATCCTTTTCGCTCTGACTTTTGCCGGCCGAGAAGGTTCCTCAGCTCTATGTCCTCATCATCATCTTATTCCCCCTGTTCGTCCATATCTTCGTCGGATGGAGACAGTTTCTCCGGCTGTGAAAACAAAGGGAAAGTATCTTCCAAAATACTTACCAATAATGTGATTTTGAGCCTTGTTACAGTTTCGCAGATGGGATGGTGGCAGCAGCAACACACGAACGGCAGCAGCAGAAATACACAACCAATGCTGGAAGCAACGCGGTTTTGACAGTGTTTGTTTTTTCATCCAAATATGAGTAAAGTGCAATTACCCATATTTAGGTAAAGTTACTTTACTCATAATGTGATTTTTATCAGTATCATTCACCCATATTATTAGGTATTGTATCAGAAACCCAAATATGGGTGAATCAACTACCTATGTATGGGTGAACTGAACTAAGCGTGAACCCTATCTATTCGCTTTATTGTGCATCCGTTTGTATGAATGCAAAGTGTAGTGTGGGGGCATTGAATAGTCCATTATATGCGCACAAGTATTGGAAGATTGCCGTAAACGCTCGACGTAGATGTCGCCACTGCATGATGATGATAATGTTGACAGACTGCATATAAAATTCGTGAAAATTAGCGTTGAATCATAATTTTCATCAAGCCTGTGTAAAATCCTTCCAATATAACATTCGAATTGAAGAAGAAAACGTTTTTACGATCAGACTGATGTGCATCTTTGACTTTTCCAGTTGAACTTTCATTAGATATATTCATTTCATTTCGCGGCTCCATCAATGCTGCATCGTAACAGCGCTGCCATTTATACAGATTTATCTGTATTATACAGATTTTTTAATCTTAATACAGACCCGATACAGAATACAGATTTATCACAGATTTTTATATTACAATACAGATTTATACAGATTTTTATAAAATGCTTGAGAAAAAAAAAATCTATATCAAAATAAGTTATCAAGCAGTTCTCACTAATATCAATATATGTTATAATTTTGATATTATTCGCATATCTTTTAGCTCTAATTTTTGTTCTGTTAGCCATCAACTCCATCAAAATGAAATCAATTTGAGTTATCAGGAATAATGAAAACAACATAATTCTTGTTTTCATTTTGTTCTCACCCTCTGCTCGGGAACCTATCAAATTTCCATCGACAATTAATCATGTTATGGTGTTTTTGACAGCATTCACAACCAGAGGACCAACCGCTTTCGGATGCATATGGAGCTGGTAGTAAACGATTTGAGATTGTATGGGGATTTACAGTATTAATTGAATATTTCCAATATAAGCATGTATGTTAAATACAAGAAAAGTGCCCGAGCACATTAAAATGGTACAAATACAAGTACTCGTAAACATTTTACTTGCATTGAAAATGTATTTCCTAAGAAATAGCGGATTTTCTGATATTCTCCATACTGCAAAAAATATTTTACCAGCACTGGCGGGGCGACATCTCTCGACTTTTCGGTGTAACTACCACACAAATGACGTAATTAATTGTATTCATCTATATTAAAAATATCAAATAGTAATGAACTCGTGCACTTTTTTGCATTTAAAACTGCTTATCAGGAAGATAATGAATAGAAACTAAAATCTCCATACATTTTCAAACGGCTTCATATCACTCTTATAAATAAGTACGGACGATATCACAAATGGCGCAATTATATCCCGTATGGTTAGTACGATAGCCCGAATAGGTGGTTAAGCACTTTTTATGGTTATTTTGTATGCACTGTATTTGTAAAACAACAAAACATGATTAATTAAGAAAAAAATCGTCAATACAGAAAATACAGATTTTTTAATAGAGTGGATACAGATTTTTTTATAAAACCACCTGGCAGCTCTGCATCGTAAATATGATGTAAACAGAAGTAAATTGCTCAATTACTCAAAATAAAGATGATTTGTCATGTTGTTATCACTTTCAAAACCATCCGGCACCATTTTATAGTATGGTGCGTGTTGAGTAAAGCAAGTTCCGTTGCGTTTTCCGTCGAAAATTGTGAGTATCAATATGTTTGCTTAGAAAAGGCCAAAATGAACATTTATTGAATATTGGCGTCCTATACAACCAATTCTCCATTACCACCAGCATGATACAACCTTTCCTAAGTAAATTCACTTAATTTCCACTTTCATCTTAGTGGAAATCGCACATATTCACAATTTTCCGAAAAATGCAGCTGCGCAGGAGGTAACCTCTCGCTGTGGGTGCAAACTTGTTATGCATTATTTTCCATGAAAACATCTCCGATCCATTCCGAAACAATAACAATTATTTTTCAAACACATTTTCTTACACGATTCAAGCAAAAGTTTCCACGGGAAATTATTAGTTTTTCTTTATGGACCGATTTTCCCCAAAAATCGTCTGTTTTACTTTGAAAATTTGGAAACTATCCTCCTTCTAGTAGTTCTCACTTCGAAATGTAGGAGGCGGAAGCTTGGAAAAGTTTCACTGCAAGACGCCAATTGATGGTCCGAAAGTGACCAACAAACAAACCAACAAAGTGAGGATAGCAAACTTTGCACTTGAAAATGGGATTACGCAAGTGTGCGAGTTTTAAACGTCAGAAAGGTCACTGCAGTCTAACTTTATAATACCCATTAAGGAGTACAATTTCACCCATTTTGAAGTAAAGTACACTGAACCAAAACATCCGCAATACATCGAATGATTATTGCATTGCTCGAGCCCTTTAACAATATGCATTCGTATTTCGGATGATTTTATTATGGTTGAATTCGTCGTTAGATGATGAACATCCATGACTGTCATCCAAATACAGGACGATTTTCATTTGAAAATTAGCTATAAAACAGGGTTTCGCTGATATCTCGGCGGGAGTGACATTTGATTGAGGTCTCGTATAATGCCTTTTCTAATAATCTGCCTACGTTTCTTTTCTTTGTTATCTACTTTATCCCCTTTTTATTTTCCTGCCCTTCTTTCCTCTTCTCTTCTTTTGTTTTGTTTATTTACATATAACTAATACTAATACCTCCTTGTTTTCTCTCTAATTTGTTTACTATGTCCCACCATCACGATGAGAGATGAGCTACCGTACATGGTACACGCTCATATACACTCCCAAAATAGTATGCCGCAAGTAAGTATATCACAGAGGCAACTAGAGATCCAGAAACAAAAACCGATAACGCGGAACGGCAGATTGGTTTACAGTGGTCGACCAGGGTGTGTGCTGATAAATTACAAAATTACAATTACATCATTATTTCATACATCAGCTTGAATTACGTTGATCGATATTACATTTTTTTTTGCTGTGCATTACACCACCGGAGCCAGCAAAGTTCAACAATCCATCGTTGCTTATGCCTTTGTTGTCGTTTGGAACCAGTTTTGCGAGGTAGGCGATGATTGTGCGTATTTCTCGCGTAACTTTTGAAAAGGGCCTAGCCTGAACAATACGTAAAGAGCAAATTGAAACATTGTACGTCGCGTGAAAGTGGAACTTAATGAAGGCCTAAGTACTTTTTCGTAGTTTTTAGTTTTCGGATTTGAAAGATCGTCGGTTACAGTGGCCTGCTTACTGAGCAGAAAAACGCGGTCCCAGGTCCTTACATATCAAAGAGATTTATGGTAAAATCGCTTGTGTATCGTGTATTTTGCGAAACTCGTTGTTGTCGTTGGTTCCGGGTTTGAATGGATACAAACATTTGAGCAACGGTATTATGTGATATGAGGGGCTCGGTGGCCTTAGAGCAACCGTTTTTGCTTACTGAGCAGAACATCATGAGTCTAATCTCAGGCCCATCCACATTCAAGATTCGTCAATCGTTTTATTTGTTAATATGACTACATGGTACACAGCAAAAAAAAAATGTAATATCGATCAATGTAATTCAAGCTGATGTATGAAATTATGATGTAATAGCAAAAAGCAGATACAATATTACATCAATGGATGTAATTTTGTTCGCAAAATCGATGTACATCGTACAACGTTATATTACACAACCGATGGATTGACCTGGTTGCAGCAGTTTGGATGTAATATTCAACAACTTTTTTTTCTGTGTAATAACAGCAACTCGGTGATTGAAAAGGTGCTCGTCTGCCTAGTGGCAAACGTTTTTGCTTACTGAGCAGAAGACCGTGGGTTTAGTCCCAAGCTCCTTCGCATTATATGATCGTTAGGACATCAATTCAGCTTATCGTTTACCAAATCGAACCCTGCTGCAAACCCAACCCTCTTATCCAACATCCCAGTGATTCCTCGTGGAAGTGCAGAGGTGTTCTCGGCTTCCATCAAAGCGAGTGTCATGTCAACACAATCCTTCCCATTCCTTTCTTGACCTGTGTTCGGGTGCGGCCGGCGCTGGTATTGCCTAATTTAGGATCACCAGTTTTTACACATTGAGGATGATTGCTAGTCC